ACAGATGCGCTCTGCACCGCAGCAGCAAAACGCATCAGACACAAATAAAAGACAGAAAGTATAAAAGAACATGTGTCGACATAAACGATCGCGTGTTGATTGTTTTTGAGGTGGCGACTCTTTGTTAATGTTATTGTGGCCGTGCTCAGGACGCATCTGTCTGGAGCGCATCAACGATCAGAGCTCTGCGCCTCTCAGCTCTAAATAATCCCGGTGAGTCCGCATAGATAATGTAATATAAGTCGAACCAGGATCGTTTTGGGGCTCCCCCTGGGTGTGTAAACAGCGGGCTTCCAGGAGCCCCCTTTAGTTTACCTGCAATTCGAATCCTACGTATAGCACAAGTTTGTTGCGTGAGTTGCCGGATCCTAGCAGACAGTTTCTGGAATGGTCCTTTCAAAATAAAATAGTTCCCGGATCTTGTTCCGGCAAGATCCAGCTCAAATTAAGCACTGGGTGCAAGATATTTGCTTTTTGTTGTATATTATTAAAAAAAAAAAACAGATTGTGGTCTGTTTCTGTCTGTGTTTTCTGTAAGATTCCACACAAATGTGTTCTATTTTATTTCATTGTTTTGGTTGCTGATGACAGTAAAGAGGACCCTGTCTGAGTTCAGACGCAGGAGCATCGGCAGTGCTTCACCGACGACCAGCTCCTCGTGCTGACAAACCTGCTGGTGTCACCCTGCTACTACGCCTAGACTCTCATCTATCTTCCGGTGACAGCAGCCGTGGAAACAAGAATTACACCTTTGAGTACTGCTGCGAGTTTAAAGTCTTCTGTGCAGCCGGCCACAATGGTGTCTAATACTTTAGAACGTCACGTTCCACCGTGGAAGGACAGCAGTTCTGGGCAACAGGTTTTTAACATTATTTTTTATTTTGCTCACCAAGCTCTATAGCAGCCCCAAAGATGGCCAATCTAAAGATAAAGGCGTATGTTTAGTTTCTTGGTTTTCTGATCAGACTAAGGAACTTTTATTTTCTTCCATCACAGCATTTGATTAATCTGTGTTCCTTAAAAAGGTCTCTAAGCTAAATGCATTAAATTCAAACTGCATGTTTCTAATAATGAAAATGAACAGGTGAATATTTATTATAACACAATTTGCAGAAAAACATTGTGCTGTGAAAAAGTATTTGCCTCCTTACAGATTCCTTATTTGTACATTTAAAAATCACACTTACATTTTTTTTATTTTAATTTGGTTAACGATGACTGGAGCAAATATAAAACACTCATTTCCAAAAGATGATTTGAAGGGAAATTATGATCTCTAAATCAAGCTGGCCCTGTGAGTAAAAATGTTTATTTCTACTGGTGACAACAGAATAAAACTTTTGTGATAACTAGCTTTCAATCTCTCGCATCACTGCCAATGAACTCTGCCTCACTCCTCTTTATATTATTGTTTTAATTCAGCTACACAGGAGACTCTTCAGTCATGAACAACCTGTCAAGGCCAAAGGTCAGACATTCCTATAGAGTTTTCATGATTTTGTCACTTAAAGTAAGTTATTCAAATCCTGAAGAGGCAAAGCAGGCCCAGACCACCAAACTACCACCACCGCGTCTGACTGCATGATGTTAGTTATAGTTTTTCACCAGATGTAACTGGACACACACTTCCAGAAACACCCACTTTGGTCTCATTAGTCCCCACAATATTTTCCAATGTTTTCCACATCAAGATGGTCATCAAGATGTTTTGCTGGCAAATGTGAAATGGGTCTTGTGTTTGTTTTTCTTTAGAAAAGGGGAATGTATCTTTTACCATTGTTCATGTTGTCAAAAAGGTTCTATTGTAGGGATTTCTTAATTCTACATATCCGGTCAGCACCTTTACAAACAATCTAATTAATCACAATTTGTTCATTTTTTTAAACAAAGGAAAATCTTATTTAACAAATTCTGGGTTTGAATAGTTCTGTTTCCTGAATAAATGAAAACATCTGAAAATCTGAGGCAGCAGTAAATCAGGAGTTGGTTGGTTTGTAGAGGAATTGGAGGGTCGCTGGTTTGAACCCAGCTCGTTCCGTGACCGATCACCCACATAGACACATGTTTGTGCTGCTCAAAGAGCCTAGTGGTACAAAATGGCTGCAGAGGCTCTCTGTCTGCCACAGGGAGGCTGTTGGCACGATGTGGTTTAAAGGAATGAGTGAGTGAATGAATGAAGGAATGGTGGATTCTCTGGAATGCACGTTGAGTTCCTGGGAATAAAACCTCACATAGATCTAATCCATTATTATTAGAATTAATGCTTTCTGTGTTTACTCAGCTATGTCTGATACTGAAATTTGCTGATCTGAAACATTTACTAAAGAGAACAAAAAATAAAGCAAAAACCAAGCAAATCTGTAAAAGATGAATTCTTTTTTTTCCCCAGCACTGTGGAAGCATGCACCCACACTGGTAAATAATACACATAATATGGTGCAATAACAGTTGTACTCTTAAACAGAGCTGTGTTTTGTTATAAAATAGTTCAGCTCTGGGAATTTGCCATTTCCAGTTATCTGAAGTCATTGCATCATCTTTTTCTTACAGTGAGACGCATTTTAGAGAGGATGACACCCGTATCGAATTCAGTAGCTGCATGTCACATTCTGCAAAAAGCTCAAGCATAAAGGCTTTTCTCCGGCATGGGTAGTTTGTAGCTCTGTGCCAGAAAACATAAGGCTGCGCAGATGCTGCTGCAGCCAATAAGCACTGATAACCGACTTCTACTGTGTGTGTTTAAGGGAGAAAACAGGATCACAGATAGAGCTGTCATCCGTTTATTCTCTATATTGATTTTTTTTCTGATGTATTGCTGTTGAGTTTGATGTGTTCACTGTGCTGAGACGTATGATGGCAGGGGAGGCTGATAGCTGAAGCTCCAGTAGGTGCAGATAGTGACAGCAGAGGAATGTTCGGAATAAACATGTTTGTGTGAAAGAGAATGAATACAGAGAAGGTGATAACTGCACTCAAAATGATTTCCAATCAGGAACTGAAAGGTATTTTTAATGATTATTAACTCCTAGCATGACTGATCATGCTTTCACTTCTGCCGTTTAAGTTTTAGAAATTCAATTGTGAATCATTAAAAAATAACTTTCTCCATATTTTGATGAGAAACTGCTAAACAAGGCATTTTAAGAAATGCATCAATCTGTTTTATAATATTGTAACATGTGTAATATTAGGGATGTGTATTTTTGAAATTCTGGCAATACGATACATATCACGATACAGGGGAGACGATACGATATATCACGATATATTGCGATACATTCAGTCAGATGTTACAAGCAATTTTTTTTACTGAATTTATTGTAAGAATGTTCAATAAACAGTCCAAACTGATACATAACATGTTTAACATGAGGTATCTGAACCATGATGGAGGGATTTACATTTCAGTGGTGGAAACAAAACCCACTGCTGCCAACTAGCGGGTGACGATTGAATTGCGCAAAACGAAAAGAAAATACACAAATGTTTGCATGTAAATTCTTTCAGGAATTAGATACACGGCTTTTGAATATCGATGTAATAATCTCAGGAAAAAATATCACGATATATTGCCATATCGATATTTTCTTACATCCCTCTGTAAAATATTGTAATTTTTTTTATAAACTGCCTGGTTGATTGTTTAGAAAAACCGGGCTAACCGAAGTTAGACACAGGGAAAGAAAACACACCTTCAGCCACGAAAGGTTGCAATTTGTATATTATTGCTCCAACATAGCAATCCTGACATGCTGATGTTTATGGGGGAAAATGTTGACAGGGTTCGTCATCACAACGTGTCACAATGCTAATTAGAGCTTACACAACTTACAGCGGGTTGCATTATTTTCTCTCAGGTATTTGAGCACAGACACAGCAACATTTGACCTGGGAACGAGGTCACCTAGAGAAACAGTTTTAGGTAAGCATGGTTGAAGATTCTTGGGTTGACATTTTAGATGAAGAACAACTCTTTCTGAGAATGAGCATCTAGACTATAGGACAGGTAGTCTGGCCAGCCAGCCCCACAGATGACGAGTCTGGCAGACCAGGCTATAGGACGGGCACCTTATTTCTGAGGTTTTCCAAGGACATCCCCAGGGAGGAGAAACCAGAGCTGACCCAGATTTAGCTGGAGGGATTAAACATTTTTCTTGGGATCCCCAGGAAGAGTTTGAGCATCATTGGGTGGGTTTTTTTTTCCTTCTTGAACTTTTATTCCTGCAACACCACTTTGGATGAGTGGTGGGAAATATATGAATCCAGGTGGAAAAAAATAACCATCACTGCTTAGAACTCAAACATTTTTCTAAGATTTTGAACCATAAAAACTAAAGTGGGACTTTTATGTTTATTAAACAGATGTTTGTCAGATTTTTTATTTAAAGTTAAAGTCCCATTAGTCATCACTCACTGGTGAAATTCATCTCCCCATTTGACGCATCTCCATGGAGAGCGGTGAACTGCAGCTGTGGCTGTGCTTAGGAACTATCTGGTGGTTTACCTCCCCCAACCCAACCCGTTAAAACCGAGTGTCAAGCAAGGAGGCAATGGGTCCCATTAGGCGTGTTTCCACTACAAGAACTTCAGGGTAGATATGCAGGAACCTCCCGACATGCGCGTGTCTCCACCTGACCGGGCCGTTTTCATGGACCTTCTGAGTACCTGCCCTGGAGTACGTTCTCCAAACGGCCCGGTGGAGTAGCTGAACGGAATCTCGGGTTAACTCATGCTGATTGGTTGTAACTCACTAGGAAAAGACATCAAGACATCCAAAACAACCGGCAGCAGTAACATTCGAAGAGTAGCTGGTAAAGCAGAATGGAAGCAAAAGCACGGATCGCATTTAAAATCTAACTCCTAAGTTCTGGTAATGGAAACATGCCTATTGTTTGGAATGACCCGACTGGGATCTTCTAGTCCCAGGGCAGACACTAGGCCACTGAGAAGGTCATTATTGCTTGTTAAATGTTTTTGACCCCTCAAAAAACATTCAGAACTTAACCAAATAAAATTTTTTAATTGCCATATATTAATATAATTTCCATTGACATTTCACGTGACACAATGCTGCCTTTTCCACATTCAAAAAAAAAAGATGCATCTATTGAGCAAGAAGCTAAGTAGTACAGGAGATTCACTTCCTCTAGTCCAAAACAAAACCCTGACTAATGTGTTACTTGACACATTCGAATTTGACAGTTTAAGACTTAGTGCTTATTTCTTGACTATCTACTGTTAAAGAATTTTGTAGCCTTTCTCTAACTAGCATTTCAAGAGAAAACAGATGTTTGTCTAGGTCCTCAGGCAGAAACGTCCTCACAGCATCAGCCAGCTGAAACAAGTACTCTGTATTTTTCCCACTTGGGCCGGTAGAGGTTAGGATCTGGTTAGCTATGTCCTCCAGTGGCGCAGGACCAAGATAGTCTGGGTTTCCCTTTGAGCCGATGTACAGTAACGTCTGGCTTGGTGAGTGATGGACCTCTGCAGCAGGAAAAAAGGTCACCGTGATGACCTGATAACCACCTTTCTCACGATAGTCGAGATAATCTTTCACTTCCTGTTCCTGGCCTGTTGGCAGCTTGTAGGCGACGCCCCAGACACACCCCTAAAGGGAAACAAGAAACATATTTAAGGTTGAAATGAAAGGAATAAAATCTGCTTTTTAAACTCCAAAATCAAGGCATATACGATGAATCTAATTATTGGTTTGATCACTGATGAGAAAGTTGTTTTATCTTAATCTACGGATGCACGATAAATCATCATCAATATCTGTACTGGCCGAAGTTGGTGATTTTTCTACATATCGGTATCAGTCCGATAAGTAAAACTGGGCCGATATTAACTAACAATATTTTTTCCATCTAGTAGACATTTTTGTATCAGTATCAGAAATAGCCCGACCAGCCATTTCCATGCTTCCTTACGGGAAGCATTGGGTCTGGGAACTCTCCTATTCAAATAACTCCACCCCCTGAGAATTCTCACCGAGCCAATCAGCGCTGAGCAGCGTACGTCACACACCACAACACTGAGTTTCTCATAAGCGACTGAAGCGAAGTTTGCTGTGCCTCTTTCTTCTGTTCTAAATTACTTGGACGTGTATTTAAAACCACAACAAGTAGAAGTGCTAAAAGCCTTTCTTTTAAAGAAAGTTGTTTGTGCCGTCGCCAGACGCCATTTTTGACTACAGCTAAAAAACGACAGCGTCGCGCGGTAAAGTAATCATTTCCGCCTTTTTTTCTGATTGGTTATTTTTGAGCTGGCTAGTCACGCCCCGATGTGCCTCTGCATCTGTGAGTTACCACACTAGCTCTCTGTGTAGAATTAAACAGAGGACAAGCCTGACAGGCCAGGATATATCAGAAGGGGAGGAGAGTGATAATGCATAGTTGTTTGGTCAGATGGCAGCGATAGTAATCATCTCAGAAGCGTAAATGTGTGTGGTGTGACTATATAATAATAATATAGTTACATAATATTTGCGGTGCTTATTGGCAAGAATCTGGCAATATGATATATATTACAATATAAGGAAGATGATACAGCATCTTGTGATTAGGGATGACCGATATTGGCTTTTTACCAATATTGTCTAACTTTTAATTTCTGATACCGATATATGCATGGTCTCCAATAAGAATAAAGAAAAAATAATAATTTAAGTTGCTAACATCACATATCTCCTATCAAGTATGCTTAAGCTTCAAACATTATCCGGGCAAAACTGCAACTAGTTTAAGTTAGTAACAAAAAAAAGTCATGTTTTTATTTGTCTCCAACAGCAGCTGAATGACTAACTCTTTGAGGGAATCCTGATAAACGCTCTGGGCTACCTTTAGGCCACAGATTATTATTAAGTTCATGATGGGAAAAAGTTTAATTTTTAAGTTAATAAATAATACAAGTGAATTAATGATAGAAAGGTTCGAATCATTTTGGCTATGAAAACAGATCATAGTGAGACCTGGCTGTTATAAACGATCTTTGAGTGAAACGTGACAGAGTGAGCACTTGGAACTCAGACGTATCACTGACGTAGTTTCCGTTTCCTTTGCTCCCAGTGTTTACATCTTACATTTAGGCAGAAACAAGAGAATAAACGGTCCATGAACACGCTGATTGTACTTTATATGTTCATGCCGTGGAGAAACTTTGTCGTTGTAGGTATCTTTTTTTTGGGGGGGGGGGGGGGGAATTTGGGCATGGGTTAAAGTTACTTAGTTAATCAAATTTAAGCAGTGTGAGCATACACATGCTAAGCGAGGGTAATTGCTAAGCGTAGGGCTGGACGATATAAAAAAATAAGCATATCGATTAAAAAACTTGATATTGATCGATATTGATAGTTATTGAAAAACATTTTTTATGAAACTGTACTAAATATTAGGGCCCGACCGATATATCGGCCGATATAGGGGTCATTAACACTATCGGCTATCGGCCAAAAAGACGGCCGATATGGCCGATATTGCGCTACCTATCCAGCAGATGGTGCCAGCTTTATGAACTCATGTTGGGTGGCTCCATTCCTCGGGGGGTGGAGCCACAGTCACAGCACACATGCAGCAGAGCAGCAGCAGAGACGACGGTGATGAGGAAGTAGGAGGTAAATTATGAGGCCAGAACAGTCTCAATAAGAATTAAGTCACACAACGTTTTCCACAAATGCACACGTTCATTCGGAAATCCACATTCTGTGTTTCACAAATATAATTCGGAGGAACACAAATGCACACGCTCATTCGGAAATTCACACTCTTTGACTCATAAATATAATGTGAAAAAATAAGTCACGCAACATTTTCCACAAATGCACATGCTAATTCTGAAGTTCACACTCTGTGGTTCACAAATATAATTTGTAAGAACACTTGTAATATAAACTCAGATCGTACGAATTGCTGAACGTGCATTTACGAACAGCTTCTCATTTGTGAACCTTTCCGCGTTTGTGAGTGAAATCTGTGTGGTGCATTCACGAACAGCTTCTCATTTGTGAACCTTCCTGCATTCGTGAGAGAAATCGGTGTGCTGAATTTTGAGACTCTCCTAACGTCGCAGGTCAACAAACGTCACCATTGGCTAATGAACCTGTCAATCAAATATATGCTTCTGCCAGGGCTGTTCGCTTTCAGCCAATCATATGGGTCCTTATGTCACAGAACAGATCTGCTGTGCGCATGCGCATTGCAGTTCACACGGCAGAGCAGGATGGACCGGTCACGATCTGTGAGTAATAGTTTTATCTTATTCCCTCGTTGTAATTGATGCAATGTTATAGAATTATGAGTAGAAGCGTTCTTCATGATCAAGTAAAATGTTTTATGTTAAATTCAGTCCAGACGTTACGTGAAGTCTGGTCCATTCTTCATCTAGTTTAACATCAAGCTAAACTCAAGTGAACATTTGTTTAGTTAGCGTATCTAGGTACCATTTTTTTTAGGCGACGGTTGTCAAACTCAAGGCCTTGGTCTATTTTTATTTGCCCCGCGAAATCAAATATCAAATATATAATATTAAACTGGCCCGCCGGGCGATTTCGCTAATAAGACTACTAATCCCATAGTGCTTTGCGGCGTTAGCGCGCGAGACGAAGCAAGCCCTCTTTTATGTTTACATCATTAGCATCCATGCTAGTCGAATCAGCGTGTGCAGCGTTACCCTCAGTCTTAAACAACTGAAGATACTCCTCTAAGCACCCAGTTTACTCTGCGAGTTTCCGACTTTGAACGCCTAGAAAGAAGGTATCTGGCTGGAACAGGTGACCATCAGAGTGGAGCGAACTGAGCTTGTAATATTTAATTGCCATGCACTTTTTCTGCTCCAAAGCATGAACGTTAATAACTGAGATATTTTCATAGAAGATAATTGCTATTTTTGGTTTTCACAGGTCTTAACTTATTTAATTATCTAACATGTTATTGTATGGCTGTTGTACCTTTCATTTGGTAATTGATTGTTTTGACCCCTATAAAAATGTGTCATATGAGAGTGTTTGTGCTTGAATTACATAGATCATGTACCTGAAGGTAGCTGACAACAACCGGGCAGACACCCACCTTGCCTTCTTCAGTGAAGCTGTGAATGAGCATGGCTTTCCTCTGAGGTATTCATGTTATTCTCAACTTTACCCTCTGTTACCCTGTTACAAATCTGCTTTTGCCTAAAGTGTGTTATTGACCAAAGATAACATGCCATTTGAGGTCATATAGTAAAATCTACTTGGCGGGGGGGGTGGGGGGGGGGGGTTGTGAACATTTCCCTCTTTCAAAAAAAATTTCCCCAGCAGAGGGTTAATAATGCCACATTGTTTATTGTTTACTCACTTAGTAGCAAGGTACATAAGGAAATTTCTGTGAGACTCAAATTGATGTAGATTGTTATAGATGTGCATTAAAAATGTTTGAAGCAAGATTCTAATGTTTTTTTTTTTCATGGTGAGAGGAGATCATGGCGGAGAAAATGTAGGTGTTGCAGAATTAATGTTCTCAGTTCGTGGAACTGACACCAACAGCTTCATTGCAGGAAAAAGTGTACACAATCAACGGTGAGTTTAACCTAATTTGGAAGCTTTGTGTCTGTGCGCGCGTGCCTGTGCCTGTTGACGTGCCCAGGGTGTACCCTTCGTCTCACACTTTGACTGCTAGAGATAGGCACCAGTCCTCCTGCGACCATTCAAAAGATAACTCAAGTTGAAAACGGATGTATGGACATGTAAATTTGTGTGTATATTATAATTTTCTTTTATTTAATCCCCCTCCAAATCCAGGATCGAGCGCCTGTGGCGTGATGTCTTCATGAGTGTTACTGGTTTATATTACAACATCCTGCACTCTCTGGAAGACCAAGACTTGCTCGACATCAGTAACATCCTTCACATGTTTTGTTGCCACTATATTTTATTGTCTCGCATCCAGGCCAGCCTGGATGTCTTTAGAGATGCGTGGGACAACCATCCAATCAGGACAGAGGAAAACATGACACCAAATCAGCTGTGGCATCTGGGCCAGGCTCTGAATCCTGTTTCTGATCCAGGGGCAAATGTATGTTCTGTTAAAATGATTGATCACATGTCAAGTTGATCCTTAACTATAAATCAAATGTTCAACACTTTGATAATCTACCTCTGCTCTATGCTTCTTGGATTCAAGACAAAATGGCTGTTGAAATTACGGTTCTGTTTGTGTGCACCTCTACTGAAGTGGACACTGTCAACTATAATGTCATGACATTACAAAGTCATGACGCATCTGCAAGTTCAAAATGCAAGGCATTAGACCTTCCAGATGTGATATTCTCACTGCTGTTTTAACATAAAATTTGCCCATTAATTTAAAAAAAAAAATAATTTATGAAATAATGGAGATGCTAGGTTCTGCCTGACATCATTGATGTTAAGTAATTGTTAAAAGGTCATGATAGGGCTTTATTAAATGTGTTTTCTTGAGATTCATTATGCACAATGCTCATACACACTTTCTTTTTCCAGGGTATACCGACACCAGAGATTGAATGGGAGGAGAACGGATACATGACTTAACCTCATCCTGGGATCAGTGTCCCTGTACTGGACAGTCCTCTTTCAGATCATGAAATGTTGGAACTGCAGGACAGCATTAATCCGTTGCAACATTCAGACTCTTTTGGGAGTGGACACATCTTCACACTGTCCAGTATGTTGAGAACTTACTTGAGGCTAGATGATTACATGTGTGAAGAAGGAAGGAGAGAGAAGGTAGGGAGTTAGGAAGAAAGAAAAATAATTAATGAGACAGGAAGGAAGAAAGTTAAAAGTGAAGGAGTGGTCCATTTTAAGGTTAATATTCTGTATATTGTTATTCAAGGGATTTGCCGTCGTAAATATGAAATGCTAAAGGATAGACCCCAAAATAGATGTCTAAATTCATTTATAGTTGTGTATTTCCTTAAAGTCTTTGTCAGCCTGATTTATTTTAGACCAGGAATGTATTTGAAAAGGCTGCTGTTCACTTCATCTATGCTACAATTCTTCAAAATGTAAATGTGCTATCATTGCTAGTGTTGGTTTAGTAACATGCATCTTCCTGTGTATCCAGCTCTAATAAAAACATTTAAAGGTGAAGCACCTACTTATCAGGAGATCCATTTATTTTTACATGTTATTGTTTGAATTTTGTCTCGTTTCATAACTTTTGCTCAACATTTAAGGGGAACTGTGTTACCCTGCGATCATCTTCATTACACTTGAAAACTTGTACTATACCTCCGTCCGTCTACTTATTAAATGGAATAACATGACAAGATTCTATCTACTGGTTTTTTGATCAAGGGATGATTAGGTGTTGTGAGAAGATTCTCTATGCTTCTGAGTCTGTGTTAAGTTGCAACTGGACACACATACCCACACACAGTTTGTTCATTTGTTCTCAGAATGAGAATAATGTCTTTTAGAGTTAAAAAGTTATTTTTTTTTCTTGATGTCACTGAAGGCTGTGTTAGAAATATATGCAGCTCATTAAAAGGAAAAGTAACTGATGTAACCAAAAGCCTGAACACAGGAGAATAGAGACACCTGCCAAGATAAAGAGCTGGAGCTTTTGCTCCTTTTCAGAGTCACTCCCATGGAATAGGCCTGATGATTTACTAGCTTCTCTTACCTTCTCTGCAAACAATGTTTAATATGAGCTTCAAGAGGTCTCTGCCCCTAACGGGGTTTGCTTTCACTTAGTAAAAATGCATAATTTTTCTGAATAAGATTATTAAGAGGCCACCCATATGGTGGAGCGTTGGTAATGTAACCGGTTAGATTTGTGTCCGACTTGATGCCGACTTGCTCTGACGTCATGCATACGTAGGCAACGATAACCACTTGAGATCAAGGCGGCCGCAGATTTTGGAGCAAGGCGCTGCAGTTGCTCTCCCTCGGCTGCTAAACCTAGGGGATGACGGGAAACGCCTGGCTCTCACCTGATCTAAGATCTGATTGGTTCATATTTTGATCCAATCATCTGGTGGTAGAACATGAAATGTTAGTTGGTCACATGTATTCTGTAAATCATGTAACGTTGATGATGACAACTATATAGGCCATAAAGAGAAATGTGATTTGTGTTCTTTTGTCATGTTTCCTATGAGCACACTGAAGCTACAGCTGCTAACCTTTACTTATTATTACAGTCATGTCTCCATATACAATATATGATATCCACAAGCATGTGAGGATGTGTTTCAGCTGCTAACAGGCACCAGAATTAAAATTGAAAATTGAACAAGTATGAACGCTAACGCGATATCTTCATCCATCGTCACCCCCGAGCTACACATGCAGGAAATTGTGTCCGACTTATGCGCACAGCAGATCTGTTCTGTAACATAAGGAGCCATTGGCTGAAAGCGAACAGCCCTGGCAGAAGCATATATTTGATTGACAGGTTCATTAGCCAATGGTGACGTTTGTTGACCTGCGACGTTAGGAGAGTCTCAAAATTCAGCACACCGATTTCTCTCACGAATGCAGGAAGGTTCACAAATGAGAAGCTGTTCGTGAATGCACCACACAGATTTCACTCACAAACGCGGAAAGGTTCACAAATGAGAAGCTGTTCGTAAATGCACGTTCAGCAATTCGTACGATCTGAGTTTATATTACAAGTGTTCTTACAAATTATATTTGTGAACCACAGAGTGTGAACTTCAGAATTAGCATGTGCATTTGTGGAAAATGTTGCGTGACTTATTTTTTCACATTATATTTATGAGTCAAAGAGTGTGAATTTCCGAATGAGCGTGTGCATTTGTGTTCCTCCGAATTATATTTGTGAAACACAGAATGTGGATTTCCGAATGAACGTGTGCATTTGTGGAAAACGTTGTGTGACTTAATTCTTATTGAGACTGTTCTGGCCTCATAGTAAATCTTCAGTTTTAAGCATATTTGTTGTGTCAGTGGTAAGTTGAACGATAAAATAAGCAATTTCAAAAGTATGTTTCCCCTCAACATGCTTCCTAAGTTTATTGTGCCGTGCGCCTCGTGGCCTCGTATTGAAAAGTTAACCTGAAAAAATAAAATAAAACTGCCGCAGCATTTCGCTCTATGCAGAGCTCACGCTGCTTCCCCTTTAGTCATGCAGGGCAGTAAGCAAGTAACATTGGCCTTTTTCTGGTAGACATTCTGGAATATTCTCAGACAATTTCCTCCGCTCTTCTTCAGCAGTCTTTTCAAACTCACGCGGTTAGCGGAAAAAATAGTGCAGATGCCGAAACGATCGCTGCACGGCGAGGGCTGGGCCCATGTGGCATATAGAATAGGATAACAAGGGCGACGAATGAAGGCGGTCCCCGTTTCGCAGCGCTTCGGCGGCACACGACCGTTGTCGCAGCTGAGGACGGGTGAGGGGGGGTTGGCAACAAAGCAATGAAACGCTGTGCAGGGAGTCCCCCTCCTCTCCCTAGCTGGGAGAGGAGTAAGGGCGGTAATACGAGAAATAAACATTCCTCTCTACAAATCTATTGTATTTTTTCAGCCTTATATTTTACATAAGGCTTATACATTGCCACATACTAGTCATTTAACGTATCTTATTTTTATTTTCCTAATACTGTCGGCTTTGGAAAGGATCAAAACACAAAAGTGTAAAACTCCACAGACTCAGAAAACAAAAAACTTAAATGTTAGATTTATACTGACCGAGTCTGTGTGTTCTGTTGTTTTTGAGATTGCTAAATAAATCTTATTTGCATTACTTGGAAACCCTGGTGAGTTATTGAGACAGTTCTTTGGTGTGTAATATAGAAATAAGTTAGCATGGAAAAGGCAGAGAATGAAGGGTTTAATCTTAAGAAAATTAGTATTTCTTTTTTTTTGTGAGGGAGATTTATCGGCCATTATATCGGCTACCGGCCTTTGTTAAAAGTTTTATATCTGTATCGGTCCCAAAAAAAGCATATCGGTCAGGCCCTACTAAATATATTTTAAGTGCGGCCCTGCCTAGCCAATTTATGCTACTTATTAACTACTTTCAATGAATAACAGACAAAAAATAACTTTAATTCAATATTTATTTTTAAATATGATTAGTTTATTGGGTCTGAACGATCTTAGGAAAAGATTGAATTGCATTCGTTTTTCTAGCAGAAATTAAAATTTCAGTTCAATTCATGATTTTACTCAAATTAAGGTTCAGCTGCAGCAGATTATTCACAACACTGATATTTACAAACATTCACTCATTTCATCACTTTTCTGGAGCGCTGTTCATGTTTCCCTCCTCTTTTACAGATTTGTCCCCACCAATATTTACTGGTGCCTTCACATTCCGGCATTCCGCGCATGTGCTAGCTCCACCCCCATCTCATGGAGATCGGAGGCACGCTCTGTGTGTGTGTCAATCACTTTGGCTTTCACACGCACTTCTCGGGAACATGGAAATCTCCAGGCATGTGGGCAGGGCAAAAGACTTGCAGAAGTCTGTGCTGTCCTCCTTTAGTTATTAGTAAACAAGTCCAGCATTAAACTATAGGCTATAATGAAAAAGGCTATATTGAAAAAAGAAAGTAAAATGAAATAACTAAGAATAAACTGCTCCGACGCAGTGCTCCTTGCTAACCGCTTCACGTTTGAGCACATTCGTTTGGTCAAGTGTCGAGCTCATTTCTTCTTCTGCAGTTGCCCAGCAAAACTTTTTGATAGCTGTGCTCTTGCTCCCTCTACTGTCACAAAATATTTTACACCCCAGCGCAGCAGAAGCACTTGAAGCAGTTAATTGGGCAAAACTTTACCTGGTTTCAACATTGACGGCAATTAATCGGTTAAATATATATATATATATATATATATATATATATATATATATATATATATATATATATATATATATACTTCCCTTGTAGTTATGGTGATTAAACCTTTATAAAGATCTTATAAAGAGGTGATGAAGCTAAAGAGTTTGATGTGCAAGGTCTGTAAAAGTTGAGTCACTAAAGGAGTACAAACCGATACTGATATTTTTTAATATTACATTTTAAGGCCAATATCGGGCCAATAATATCTGTAGATAATATCGGACAACCCTACTTGTGATACTAAAAGCCAGATGATATTTGTGACTTTTTTGACTGAACATAACTGAAAAACTCAGGCCAGATGCTTACAAGTGTATCATGTTAAGGTTGTTGCTTAGACAATATCAAGACGGTAAAAACTGCTGTCACCTAGCAGTCGGGGTTTATATTGCACCACAAAAAATAAATATAGTAAACGTTTCCGTTTGAATTCTCAATAAAAATGTATACAATCAGTATCATTTCACAAAATATCACAATATTAATACAGTGTATTGGAATTTTCTTGCATTCCTTCTTATATGAATGTAATTTTGGTTATCGTATGAGATATTAATATCAAATATCGATTTTTCATATCAGTGCACCCCTATCTCATTCTGAAATTAACTTTATCAATAAATGACATTTGTTGCTCTTTTACATCTCTAAGTAGATCACACACCTCGGGATCCTCCACAAGTGTGACAACCCGTCCAGGCTGGAAGAAAAAAAAATAAACAAAGAACCGACATGTTGAGACAGAACAAGTTACAGATGCTAGAAAATGCTTTCTAAGTTTTAAATCAGTATACGATGTTACTGAACCTCATATCTTACTTGTAAACAAAGAAAAGACAAGTTTTATCATCTTCTCAAGTATGCAGAATTATTAAGCATCTACATAAGAATTACACAATGACTTTACTCCTTCCTCTTTACGCTTTGGATAAGTGGTGAATTAATTTTTGGGCCTACTTGCCTATTTCATAAACTCACAAGCGCATTTTTACTTCCTGTCTGTAGTTGTTGTAACCCAACATGTGATAAAAGTTTTAATCGAGCACCCAAGTACAAAATAAGGCCAAGTCATCATGACTAACCAAACACGGACAGAAGCTGATGCCAACAAGATAAAGGCTGACTCTAGAAGCAGAACGTGACATAATATGAAAGTATAAACGTGTACGTGTGAGACTGTAAGTTCCTCCAGAAGCCCTCACCTTCCCCGGTACTCCCCGGTGGTCGGTGCTGCCCTGCCAAAACCTTCGGCTGAAGCCTTTGATGTACCCGATCCGTTTTTCCTCGTACGGGAAGTCCACCTTCCATATCAGGGAACCGTATCCGAAAACCCACATGATGATGAAGGTGATGACACGTAAAGCTAACGCACCGAAATGGTAACAAGGACGGTTGGAGATGGACGAACAGCCTTCTGCTTACACTCTACAAAGACGTCATACCTTCATAATAACAAACACATCTACCTGTAACTTATTAAGACTCTTCGTGACGCTTAACTCTTGCTGCTCCGGGAACAGCTGAGCTCTATAGCTTTTTTTTTCTGAGCTCTATAGCTAAACTAGCTAGCGCCTCATCTGGGTTACGTCAGCGTCTCTTTTTCCATTAACACACTTTCAGTATAAAATTTAGTAACAAAGAGTATTGACAATCTCTGTAGTAATATGAGTCCATAGTATGGGATTGTAATATTTTCATGGGGGGGAGGGGGGGGGTATTTTTCGCTTTGCGGTGTCAATAGAAACATTTTTTGTTGCTACGCTTGGCTTTTATTTTGAAAGTTAAACCGGACATTTTTAGAAAACACTAAGTTTTAGTACTGACAGCAGGGGGTGCTAATTTTCTGTTTCCCACACTGTCTCACTTGCACGCTCCAATAAAAATTCACTCCATGCCTGCATGTGTGCACTGATTCAGAACCAAACAAAGTGAACAGCAACAGTCTGGTCTGTAATGTCGGCTTCACGAACCACAGCCGCGCTCATCCTTCTGGTTCTGAGAGAGAATAGTCAGCCAACCTTTTTATGCAACCTGCCAGACTTCAGTTTTTGGACTGTAGCTGAAATCCCCAGCAGGGGAGAAAAATGCAGGGGAAACATCTGCCATACAGAAGTCCAGGTTCAACCCCGAAGACAAAGCAGCAGAAGATAAAATGTCACTTTTACATGTGTGTTTAAAAACAAAAACAACAATCAGATGCAGAGTCTTTGATTTTTGGTCATATTGATGAAACACAGTTTTTAATCCTAAACAGGGTTTCATGTGAATTACAGGTTTAGCGGATGTAAAATTGCTAAATATGTATAAATGACATTTTACTGAGCAGCACAGGTAAATCACAAATATTTAATTCTACCAATTAGTTTGAAAATACATCTAATGAATAATATTTATTTCTAGTATTTATTATTGGTAATGTCATATTTTAAAACAAAACATTTTTACCATGTGTTTGCAAAAACAGTGGCTGTATATTAAATGTAAATCTACTCCTGCTTGATAAAGATTTGTAGAAATCCCTATGAATGACTGGTAGAGGACATGTTTGTCATCTTAGTTCCTTAAAAAATCACTAAACTCAACTGAAAAGAATAAAATAAATTATTAAAATTTGTAGATTGTTTCAATAAGAAAAATATGTCTATTATATTAATATGATGAATCCAGCATTACATGCACTAAATTTAATTTCAAAGATGAAAATAAGAAAAACCCAAAACACCGGTTTCTTTGGCATGGATAAAGGTTAAAAACATTCTTCATTCAGCACAAAATATTTGAAAGCTACTGAATACCAGTTGTGCACACAGACAGTCATGCTGTTGTACTACTTTGGTAAATGGCCTGTATTTGTATAGCACCTTCTTAAGGTTCTACAACCCACCAAGGGGCTTTACAACACAATCCACCAATTCACACGCTGATGATGATGGCCTGCATTGTAGCTACAGCTGCCCTGGGGTGCACTGACAGAACTGAGGCCTGCCCTACACTGACGCCACCAGTCGCTCTGACAACCACCAGCAGGCAAGGCAGGTCAGGTGTCTTGCCCAAGGACACTTTGGCAGGAGCCAGGATCCAGCCTGCAACCTTCTGATTGCTGGACAACTTGCTCTACCTCCTAAGCTACTGCTGTCCCCCTACTTCATGGGTAGAGTGTGATCTCTATTGCCTCACATGCAACTCCAAGGTCTGCAATCATTACTCAATGTTTATGGTAACAAATGATTATGTTTATTAATTAGAAATTGCACTAATTTCTTCTAGAGCATCATGTTTGTTTTCGAAATACCGGATTGAATAGATTGCATTTTCTCAATTCCTAAACAGCAATATGTGCTTTAGATCAAATTCTCATATTTGCTCCTTCAAAAAGGCTGAATGGTATTTCATAATTATTCGCTCACAGTTTCTTAAAATGAACCTTTCTCTTTTTTCCGAAACTTTATTTAAAAAATCTCATGTTGAAAAAAACATTATTTAGCAGTAGACAATTTCTCTGTTGCCTCTGAAATGTGTTGTCAAAGTAAGTTTAGTATCTCAAAAGATAAACAACCACATTTCTCAGTTATGGCATTTAATCTTCTGCCTTTGTTTTCACAGATTAAAGGATTATTTGCAAGTAAATATTTTTTTTCACTTTACACAGCTACTCAACTTTATTATTTAGAATCGGGTTTGTAGCTGAAATCACAATCAGAATCTCCTAATACTAGTTTTCTTCTTCATCTGCAAGTCAACACTATCAGTAGAATGCTTTCTTTCTTTATGAGAACATGTTCCATAAAATGTTCTGTTTTCTCTTTTTTCTTACAGAAAAGCTATTCTTGGTTCTAATTTCAGATTATAAAAATCCAGAAATAAATCTGCTGTAATCCACTTTATATTCCCAGTGTATCATCATGAGTCACTGTATCAACATGGCAATCTAATAAATTAAATAAATCACAGTTCTAAGACAGTTATTCCCAGCAGGCATGATGGGATGTTTGCTGTTGTGATTTTTTTCATACATAATAGATCAAGGCAGGAAGACTCTCTAACTCCTTTGCTTAAAGAGGCAGTGTGTAGTTTTTACTGTTAATCTCTGGAAATATCAAAACCTTGTTGAAAAAGAATAAAACGATGCTCAGTTGTTGAAAAATATTAGCAGCTTTGTACCATATAACCATATAAATCAGATCTAAAGTAACAGGGTCTAGCGTCTTTGGGCAACACCGTATTAGAAGTCATGCTTCTTTCTGGCCAGCTCAGGATCCTGCACCACTAGATCAGTGTTTCACAACCCCGGTCCTCAGGGCACACTGTCCTGCGTGTTTTCCACAGAAGTTATGCTACCCTATTCAGAAAAAGTTAGGCAGTAAGAAACATAACTGCTAAACTCCCTCCAAAACAAATGTGAAAGAACAAATTCGTTTTGGCCGAGCGGTAATGCCATAGTATGATTCACATAATAGACAGGCCCAGTACCCTGAGCAGATTGTAAACTACAGTGCCAGAAAACTACAATCGGCATTTCAATTTCTCAATGGAATTAACTCAAGGTTAAGGTCCATTAATGTCTGAGGAGTCACATCGAGTTTGCATGCTTTCTGCTCCAGAGGTGACAACATTTACCGTAATGTTTTTTTAAACAAGCGGCAGTCATGGCGATGTGGGGTAAAACTACCCTGAAATGTATGAATGTACTGCCCCTATAGCACAAGGAAACTACACACTGCCACTTTAAGGCAGGAACTCACCCCCAAGGCCAGGTGTACACTCTACAACTTTTTCACTCTAATCATTCAGCTCTGTGTCACACTGTACAACTTCCTCACAGAGCAAAGCTCACGAGTCATGTTCTCACACTGTACTACCCAATGCTTAGCTACAGCCTGACTGCTCACATTGTACATCGGGTAGCAACACGTTGGACCTAAAAATATGCTAAAAATAGTCGTTTTGACACAACATGTCAGAAAAATGAGTCCAACAAGACTTGGAGGCTGCTATTGATGTCTGTTGTCCTTTGGGCTTTCCGTTGAAGGTCACGCAGGGGTTTGTGGGGGTCGGAGAAATAAGACAAACAATGTTTTGGGATCGGTTTATTTAAAACAGCAAACACACTTTCTTGACAGTCCTTGTCATTGTGTGTGTAGAAACGTGTAAGAATACAAAGTGTGTGTAGAAACGTGTAAGAATAGAAAGAAACATCGTGTGTTTATGTGAAAATAGCCGGCAAGTTGTGTTGGTGCATGCGCTGTGTTGGTGGTTCTGGTACTTTCGGGTCAGAGCGCTGCTTCTGCAGTGCAATACCTTCACAAGGGATGAGCAAAAAAATTTCATTATCAAATCTTGTTACCCCCTGATTACTACACAGCGTACAATGCAAAATTCACGTCGACCTCAAAGATTCTCGGCTCAAAACGTTTAAAAAATCACACTATGTACGCCCGGCTTAACCAAGGGGAGCAATCTACCTGTTTCAGATTTGGAGGAGTTGATCCTCATCCCAGCTGTGTCACAGTTGAATGCAAACCACCACACTACACCCTTGAGATAGCTTGAAAATCTGCTCATGCCTCAAAGAAAAGTCAAAGTCTAAACCGAGCAGCGTTCATGAGCCGAAACCATCTTTGTAGTTCCTCTCTAGCGCAGCGCTGGTGCTGCTAAGCCTGCCCAACGTCACTTTACATTTACAGTATATAGAGTGCTGTGATTGGCCTTACCTAAATTGTCCGGTCTAATGGTGGACCTGCTGAGGTTACAATGGAGCATGATTAGACCAACCTGCAGAGCAAAATCCTTTGCTCCTGCTACAGTTGTTCTAAATAAGCTAATGAAAGTGATCTTTAGCAGGAAAATGGACAAGCTCGTCCTCAGAGATAAAGTGATGATCTTATTACGATTAGCTCCTCCTGAAGCATTTATGGACAAGTCCTATTGAAAGGAGACTCCAGGGCACACCAAGAACATGCTTAAGGGATTAGAAATCCTCTCCAGTCTGGGAATACTTTGGGATCACCTAGAAGGAACAGAAGACCGTGATGGTGGAGAGGCCCTTCCTGGATACTTCCTTGTATAAGTGGTGGACTTTAGATGGATAGATAGAGATTTCAGGCTAACCTTATTTCAACACCCACCACTTCTCTGACAAGTTTTTCCCATCAGCTATTGTCCCTGTGCTCCCAAACCTTACCTTTCACCTCCTTCAGACACTTTCCGTTATTTATCAGGGCAGTGTCCAAGATACACACAGACTGAAACCATGTTTCTTTGTAATGTGTTCTATTGTACAAGATCACTTCCAATTAGGAGGAGTGACACTGACTCAACACGTCAATACACCCAGTCAAGACTGTCCATCAAGTCTTCTGGCAACACGCCTCATCCGACTGCACCCAAGGAGGAGGTCAGTTGGCAGCACCACCACGCCTGTTGAGAACAGATCGGGGTGAATGAATGAACAAAACAACAGAGTGTGACAGACCAGACTTTTCTTCATCCACGATTGCATTCCTCCCTTGACCACAGCCTTGTATTTATGGCCGTATCTATGACAACAAGTGCCCTCAACATCTTCAAAGCAGTAATTTTAATTTACTGATGTCATCCTTTCA